AATAAATTATCTGGACAATTAAAAATATATAGAAATAATTAGCTGGGCGTGGTGGCACATGCCTGTAGTCCCAGCTACGTGGGAGGCAGAGGCAGAAGGATTGCTTGAGCCCAGGAGTTTGAGTTTGTTGTGAGCTAGGCTGATGCCACGGCACTCTAGCCAGGGCAACAGAGCAAAACTCTGTCTCCAAAAAAAAAAAAAAAGATTAATTGAGTGTCCACTTTAGGTATATCACTCTTTCTTGGTGCTGTGGGGATGCTGAATAGAACAGAATATATGGCCTTCAAAACCTGTGTGACCTAGTTATGGAACCAATATATACAATGTGTTCAGGCAACCAACTCTGATAGGAAATGCATGTGTTGTACACTTAGGCCTCCTGTTCTAGAGGGTCAGTTATCCATACTTTTAACGCTGACTCAAGCATTACAAAAGCAATCATGTAACCAAAAACGTTTGTACCCCCATAACACTTGGAAATAAAAAAAGAAATATTCCATATGTGCAATAATATTTCCTTATTCAATAGAATTTTCAATTTATGTTGTAATGCCCCAGAGAACAATGCTCTTTAAAAATACATTTCCTCACAAACAAGCTTATACAGCACTACCTGCACAACACTTTCTGTGATAATGGAAATGTTCTGTATCTTCACTGTCCAATATGGTAGCCACTAGCCAATGTGGCTATTGAGCACTGGAAATGTGCCTAGTGTGACCAAGGAACTAAAATTATAGTATTCTTTTATTGTAATTATTTTAAATTTAATTGCCACATTTTCTAAATTTATTATGCTCTTAGTCTAATTTCAAAATTAAAAAGTTGGATTACTTGTAAAGCAATGCTCTCCATGTAGCATGTTTCCAATATTCCCTGTTTAGTAAATGGCCTAATTGGTTTTGCTAATCATATTATGGGCATTCTAATGAATTAAGGATACCTAGGAAAAGTTCTTAACACACAACAGTAATAATTTTTATATGTAAAGGAAATAATACTTAGAAGTAACTTTTATAGGGGAAGTTATAAAACAACTATTGATCAAATATGATTTCAAGAAAGCCCTTAAGGTGATTCAATTCAGGAAAATTATAAAGAAACAGCTGTTTTTAATATTTTATAAAACATCCATAAACCAAGAGAAACAAGTAGCTCTGTTTCATTAGTAATGACTTTTAATTTTTCAACTAAATAATTAAATTTGAAATTAAGCAGCTAAAATACAGGGTTATCTATATCAGAAGGAATAGTTTCAATATTACTCAAAGATTTTTATTGTGAGGATAAACTTCCTTCCTCCTGATATTTCAACTTTATCTTACAGCTAACACCAACTAAAAAACACAAATATATAAACAAGAGCCTTAAGAACCTCTACTTAAATATTTCTGAAAACAAATATAAGGAACCAATACCAAAGTGGAAATGAGAGTCTAGAGGCTTATAACAATTTTATCAAACAAGCTGTTCTGTGGCCTTGTAAAGCAAAATCTCTTTTTAATCATTCTGTGTTTAATTAAGAAGTAGATAATCATATTCTAAGGAAGTCTGCCTCTCCTAGTCAACTTAGCTTCTTCAAAGGAGATGCTATGCAGCATCCTCATCCTAGTAATTCTCCATTTGATCAATCAGGTTGTGAAACTTCCTTTTGTGTGGAGCATTATATTGTCATTCTTAGTGCAGTTAAATTAGGTTTTATGGTTTAAAATTGCCCTATTAACTTGGTGCTTCCTGCGTTTTCATTAACTCAAAACATATTTGATATCATGATAAGCTCTCCTGAAATGAAACTTCCCTTCTGGAATAAGTCATTCTATTATAGCAGATGCTTACTGCAGAACTTGGTTTTGAACATTACACTGCTTTAATGTGCTTCTCTATGAATTGATGCTTTGGATGAGGCTATGCAACACTAGCATTTATAACCATATGCTGTGTTTTAGGCCAAGTCATTTCCCTTCTCCTCTACTTTAAAACTGAGAAGCAAATAATTTTTGAATTCCAAGTTATACTCCTTCTCAGGAGGAAAATCTACAAAGTATCTGAGTATCCCTAAAATTACCCTGCTCCCCAGGTATGGCAGTGGGCACTGTTGTCCTTCTCATATTTTAGCAGAGGGGTTTTTTTTCAAAAAGATATAAAATTTCTGATTCTGCAAGTCAGGAGTGGGCCCTGAGAATGTGCATCTCTAACAAGATCCCAGGTTGTGCTGATGCTGCTGGTCCAGGGATCACACTTTGAGAACCACTGCTTTAGAGCTCTGAGATTGAATAAATCCCTTTCAATTCTCCCTGGAGATGATGCAAATTATCACAGGGCACCTTTATCATTGAATGTGATGTTACTCCTCTTCCTCTGGCACTGATTTATCAAACAGAAGGATGAGAGGGCCTGAGGGAATGAGAGACGCTCAGATCTATCCTAGTGACCCCTTGGTGACTTCTTGAGCAGTTAATATATTCACGGTTGGATTTAAACAGGGTGGCAAATTTCTGGGGTTCTCAGAAAAGTTTCACCATGGAAGCATAATACCAAGGTCATCGACTACATTGGAAAATGGCTACTTTGATTCTCCCTTTCTTGAAAGAAAAAATTTTCCAGGTAGGAGTCCTCATTTCTTTATTCAACAAATTGGGATCCTGCCATGTGCCAAGGAGAATAGGATACAGCAGAAGACAGGCAAGATCTGTGTTTTTATGGAATTTACATTATAATCAAAGTAGGGGGATAATAACCAACCAACTAAATAAATAAGAAACTTTCAGTTAGTGAAAAATGCTCTAGAAAATAGAAGGCAGGTAAAGATGTAGAGAGTTCCTGGCTGGGGGCATGGCTGGGCTACCTAAGATAAGGTGGTAGGGGTTGTCTCACAGTAATGCGATAGTTGAGCTGAGACTTAGATATCAAGGAATCAGACCTGTGACTATTAGGGGCCAGAGCTTTCCAGACAGTGGGACCAGTGAGTGCAAAGGTCCTGAGGCCGGGCTATGTGGACTTTCTGTTTAGAAGAGGAAGAAAGACTATGTGGCCAGTGAGAGCAGGAAATTGGCAGGATTTTAGAGGCCAGAGATTATGGGAGGGTGATTTGTAGGGCATTGTTAGAGATTTTGATTCATTTCATGGTTAAAGAGAAGCTATAAAAGGTTTTTAAATAAAGAAGTGATATGATCCTTTTATTTTATTTTCATTATCATTCAGTTGCTATGTTGACCAAAGAAGCAGAGCTAGAGTATAAGAAAGGAGACTAAAAGATGGCAAATACAGCATTTTAGGTGAGAGTTGGTAGAGGCTTGGACTAGATGAAGAATAGCAGCAGAGATGGTGAGGTAGAAATCACAGAAAATGATGATAGATTGGGTGTCAGGTGTAAGGGATAGAGAAAAATGGAGAATGATGCTTAGGTGTTTGACCTGAATAACAGCGGGTGTATTGCAAACATTAATTGAGATGGAGAAGAATGGAGGGTGCGTCATTTGTGAGGCTGGACAAGAAACCATTATTTTTGCTTTGAATGTTATGGTTGAGTTCCCTGCCAGATTTTCAGGATGAGTTTTAAAGTAGGCATTTGGATACATGAGTCTTGCTCAGCAGAGTCTGAGTGAGAAATAAAAATTCACTTGTCATAGGCATTGTAGGTAGTATGGGACTCAGTGATTCTACCTGGGGAGCCTCAATCTTAGGTAGATTTATTCTGAAACTTTTACTGAAAAAGAGATATAATGGGAAGTTCTGTTGATTTCCGAAGCTCCCATACATAACTGATTATAGGAAAACAGCTGATCCAGGAATATGAGTAGAGATGGTTTTCCAGAGGGAAAATGAATAAATATACCAATTAAAAGCAAACCACCTGATTCATTCACAAAGGGTAAACTGAAAGGTGGCAAGCACACCATTATTAGTGGTTCATAAAGTATCTCTCCAGTTGGATAGAAAAGGTTCCCTGAAACTTTACTTCTCAGTCTACTGCTAGACCTAGTTTTTAGGCAAGTACCAGAACTTTTCTCCAGGGCCCTGTTTGATGTCATTAAACTTTTCTTTAGGAGAGAAACTTTAAAGCTCTGTCTTCCAGGGAGTTCCCCTCTGGGCAGAGGCAGACATTTAGCTTGTCCTTGTTTTCCTTTCAGAGCTTAAGAACACAGTTTGAGTTCAGACTTGGTGTCCCTCACCAGCCAAGAATTTTCTTCAATATGAGAAAGTTATGCATAGTCAATAGACTTAAAAGTTGGAAGAGATTACTCCAGACACCTGTAGAATTTGCATTATTTGAGTATCTAAGAATTTATATAGTTGGAATTTCAGATCATTTAAATGATACAAACCAGGGCCACTGGCTCAAATGACCTCATTTTCTGTGATTCCTACTCCTATAATGATATATATATAGAGAGAGAGATAGGCAGATGATAGATGATAGATATAGATATTGATGATCTAGATACAAATATGGATATATTAGATAACATGTACAGGATATCTATGAAATAGTACCTATTTCAATTAATATTTCCTTAGTGTAGATGGAACATTATAGTGCAAATCTACTTAAGAAGCTATTATGCTACAGGTGTGGTAAATTACCTTAAAACACATCACTGTGATTTATGTATCTGTATATTACCTTTGATTCATACTCCTAAAGTGGTTAGAATTTTAAGTTCCCTAATCCAGAATCCATATTCTCAAAATGGCCACATAAGAATTTCAAGTATCATCATCAAAGTCTATATCAGAGTTTTCATTAATTCACAAAAAGGATGCTTGAAATAGTTATTCATTGATGAAATGAGTAGTGTTCAAAATGTTCAGTTGGCTACATAGATTTTTATGAGCTTTACCATGAATGAGGCATCAGAACTTGTCAAGGCTAGGCATGTAATACCTTCAGATAAGAGTACTACGTCTAGGTCTACACTTCCTTTGGTCTTCACTCTATTCAATTTCATGGAAGATTCTGTCCCTGATGTAACTCGAAGTCTGGCTGATCTTCCTCAAAATGAACCTCTCTTGTAAGGGGATTGTGGAAGTTTCTATGGATTGAAAGTGAGAAATTAAAGGCCTAAATTCAATAATTGTTTTTGTGCCTATTTGCTACTAAATTTTGGTAAATTTGACAGAATTTGGTCTATTTAATCTAAGACTTGTTTTAATTTTAGCACACCACCTGGTAGCAAGATTGTGGAGAAAAGGTTGCCATGGATCATCCCCCTGTCTTTAACCCTAGAATTCTATTTGAGTTTGCTCCAAAAATCTGACAATTCCTGAATGCCCAAATTGGCCTAGGTTAGTTTTTGCAGCAGAAGTTTAAGACATTTAAAGCATCTATTTGGAGAAATAACAGACTAAGTAAAGTACGCTTCTAAACTATCTTTTTGAACACTATTAAAGTCATGAAGATATATTTATATGCAATCTTTAAAAAATAATGCCCTTTTCCTTCACTTTCAAGTACAGTTTTGACTTTCATTCATAAATTGGATGAGTTTATTTCAATTCCATACAAATAGAAATTGAATGCAAAAAAGCATGATCTTAACATACGTATCATTCATGATGCACAGATGTATTACCCTAAAAATAAAGTTGTCCCTGTGTTAAACTTATAATTATACTCATAAAAGCAGAATATTAATTCCCATTACTTCCTTTCTTCAATCATTTAAATACACATGCACAAACATCAGCCATAGCCTCCTCTGTTGCTAGCTAATCCATAGATCAGTGAAGGCAATTTCAACAGAACATAGCAGGTCTTCCTGGAGAAACAGCTTCACATTATATGCATTTTAATAAGGAAAACATTTCATGCTATAGAAAAATATATTACTTATCTAGTGCACAGCCTCCAAACCCATGCTTCCTCCCTCCATGCTTTATAAAAATGCATTTTGTTTAAATGTTGAGAGTATATTTTAATTCCAACATTGCATTTATTTATTCATTGACTAAATATTTATTGTCTCCTTAGAGTCAGAATGAGCAGATCATTTATGAGATCATGACTACTGAAATAAATATAAGTAATAAGTATATTAAAGTGTGATAAAGTACTAAGTATAATCGTGACCTGTTTGAGAATAAAAAATTATTAGCAAAATATTCTTTTGTTAGTTTAGTGCAACAGCAATTGTTAATTGCTATTATATTGCCATAATCCCTACATTTGGCAGTATGTTAATAGAGTAATCAGGGGAGTGGGTGAAAGGAAAGAATAAATTAATTTCAAAAGAAAATCACCAAGAATGAGTTATCTGAAAAGAGATCGAGACAAAAAAAATGGATATCTCCTGCTAACCTTCCCAACCTGCTGTGGCTTTGTGAGTTCTTAACCTAATATTAATAAATAAAATGAAATATAATGAAGAAACCAGAAAATAGAATAGCTTATTGGATGCTGGATAAGAGAGAAGTACCTTCTGTTTCACTCTTCTCAGAGTCAGTGCCTTTGAATGGATAACGGTGCTGTCATTTCTCAGCGAAGGAGGTGATGCATATGTATGTTCGTGTATGCGCATGCATTCAAATTTGGGAATAGATGCAGAATGAAACACTGTGAATATACGTGGTATGAAAAACAGATATAAAAAGTGAATTCGAGGTCTGTTGCTGTTTTTTCCCATATTATTGTATTTGTGGAAATCATATTGGCTTTTTAAAATTCTCTATTTATTATGTGCAACATGATGTTTTGAAGTATATATACATTGTGGAATAGTTAATGTAATCAGTTAAAAAATGCATCACCTCACACACACAGTTATCATTTTGTGGTAAGAACACTTAATTACATCAGTACTCTTATACTTTCCAGTGTCTGTGAGAAGTGGAGTGAGTTAATCTGAACAAAATTATGGAGTATGCAATCACCGACCTGGAATTGTTTAGAGATCACCCAGCTGGATCTAAAAAGGTATTTAAGAAGGAAAAAAACCCAAACATTAGAATACCAAGGATCTAAAATATAAGCAGAAAGGGGGAGCACCAGAGGGTGGGAGCCATTCAGAAATCTTGATCTGCTTGTAAAGCAGGTGAAAGTGTGATCTACAGAGTTCTGGTTCCTGGCTTTGCTACTAACTGTACATTCAGACATGTCATTTAATCTTTATGTGAAAAAAATAAGGAATCTCTTAAATGACACGTCTAAATATGTAGTTAGTAGCGAAGCCAGGAACCGGAACTCTATAGATCACACACGCACCTGCCTTACAAGCAAATCAAGATTTCTGTGTGACTCAAAGATTTCACAAAACTAAGAAGCAAACAAAAACAAACAAACAAAAAAACAGATCAGGATTTCTGAATGGCTCCCACTGTCTGGGTGCTCCTTCCGCCTATATTTTAGATTCCTGGCATTTTAATGTTTGTTCTTTTTTCCTTCTCAAAATATCATTTTAGACCCTCGGACCTTACACCTAAATATATGAACAAGTTTAAAATGTTAATCTTTCCAGAAATATTTCTAACTTAACATGGGTCAAAACTTTCAAAGCAATAAAATTCTAATAAGGACACCAGTCAGAAGAAACTAACCCTGTCGACATCATGATCTTGGACTTCTGGCCACCCAAATTGTGAGAAAATAAATTTATGTTGTTTAATTAAAAAATAAAAGAATTAAAACTCTAAATGTGGGATTTTCAGACTCAATATAAATGGGTAGTTGGAGGTAGAAAGGATTAGATGCTTTTCAAAACCTCTGAAATCATAGCACATGGCCAGTCAGTTCCTTCATCTACTATTTGCAAAGCAGTTCAAGCATGATTTATAAAACTCCAGATTTGTTGAACATTTTACCAAAGTTAAATTCTACTGGCAAGAAATGTAAATCTAATGAGTAGAAAAACCTGAGAACATTGGGTAAGTTTTAAGGGAGGGAGCACATGAAGTGTGAGGTGATTTACATGAAACTTAATAGCTTCACAAAATGAAAATGTTTGAG